AGAGTTTTTCCTTCATCAACATGGGGAAAAAGGAAATAAAAATTGATAGTGGTTTATTGTTTATGAGTTGTGTTTATAGTGTATATGCATTCTGCATGCATGTGTAAAGATGATCTATTTGTCTGGTGACAGTATGCGATTGGGCATGACTGTTGAATGAAACGTCACATGTCGGCATGCACACCTGCATGATTTACACAAAAGGTTTTTCTTTTGTTCAATATTCATTTGAGCCGATCTGTTTATTTTTTTTGACCTCTGCATCTTTTGCCTTTTGTTTTCTTTTGTTTTCTCTCTTTTTTTTAATGGATTAATTGCTCCTTTCTGTCCTATTTTGTTTTGTTTCAGTCAAGGGACCAGGCAGAAAGTTAAGTCTACCCACAGATCTTAAGACTGATCTTGGTACGGTAGGCCGAAAGCGAGCAGTTCATTTTCTTTAATCTTGCCTTCGATTCATCAACTTTCTCTGTTTCCATCCTGTTGAGAATGACATGATGAAGCCCCTTGTCCTTGCATTTTGCAGTTCATTTTTAATGCATTTTTGTTATTCTTTCACTTTCTTCTCATTTGAATTCATGAAACAGTGCAAAATTTCCTTCCTCACATCCCTGCGTGTGGCCTTTTTTTAATTATCAAAACAATTACGCTTCTCAGTGTACATTTTGCAAGTGTTTACAAAGGTGGTTTGTTCAACATACTCATTCCTAAGTTGAGAAAGGTATCATCCTGAAATCTCGCTCTCCTGCGACTGGTTCATTCTTTACGTCTAAACAGCCTTGCACCATCATAATTGGGTCATTCTATACCTCAGAACATGCTTTAACCCTACTGGACCATTCTTTAACTCTATGAAAGCCTGCTCATTTGTGATTGGACCATCCTCTACCTCTGAATGACATGCACTATTGTAATGAGATCATTCTTTGCAAGTGAGTTTGCCTCATCGTGACTTGGACCATTCTTTTGCCTTTTTTTACGGAAATCCTCCAAATTGTCTCTGTCTCTTTCGCTGAGTATCTCTCCTTGTTCTCTTTTCATTTTTCTTCTCTTTGTCTGGCTTTTTTTAATGCTAGGCTGTGACTAACACACCTCTCGCTGAGGGCTGAACAATTTCCTCTTCCATTTCTTGTGCCAAACTTGACCTAATGTTCAATAATGAAAGTGTTCCTTCAACAGGTCAAGCTGTGCCGCATTAAAATGGAAAATAGAGCGTCTGGGCCATGAATGATTATACTTGTTTCTAATCCTCAAAGGTTTTGATTTGCACTTGGAAAAAATTAGAAAGCACTAGAGTCTCAGGTCATTTTTTAAAATAAAAATAGTTTGATGGTTCAGGTTAAAGAAGCATTAAAAAGGACATGAAAATCAATACTTATTAGAATTTTGGAGGGTTTTGTGAGTGTAATGTGTGTGCGTGAGGCTGAAATGGAGTTAGTGTGTGTATGTGTATCTACAGGTAGGTTTGGGTCACTTTGTGTAGTTTTGTGCTGTAGAACTGTCTCCCCTTGAATGCACTGGGGCCTACACAATATTTTTGTACTCTTTTTTTTAAATTGAGATGTTTTCATTTAGAAAAACCGACCCTAGTGCAGGCCAGGGAAAACAGATGTGAATATATCTGCGGACTGGGCTCCATTTTTTTTAGGCTTTCTCATCCTGATTCTTCCTTGAGATCTAAATTGATGCTATTTTAACAAATTCAAAATTCTGCATTAAAATCAGTTTGAAGATTGAAGACATATTGCTTATAAAGTAATAAATAATTACTACAAAAAATAGCTTAGGAAATAGACCACCATTTATTGCTTACAGTATATTAAAATACAGTTAAACTGTTCAATTTCAGAATACTATAACAATGCAAAATACATTTATTTGTCTATAACATTTTAAAATACACTTTCTAAAATTTACACTCCATGGTCACATGATCATTTCCAGTGTTGGGGGTAACGCATTACAAGTAACGCGAGTTATGTAATAATAATAATAATAATAATAATAATAATAATAATAACAATAATAATAATAATAATATGACTTTTCCAAGTAACGAGTAAAGTAAAGCCCATGGTCAGATCACATGATTTTTATTGTCGGTTATGAAAGTCACTGTCAGACTATGCAATATTTATTTATTTTTTTTCTTGAAAAAATCTTTTCACGAGTAACAAATGTGCCAGACTACACGTTCCTTCACAATCAGTCATCTTGGGACGTCTGTGATGAAGGTTATTTCCCAAAGCAGTCACAAGTGTTGCTATAGAGATATTCTTTATCTCAATTAAAAAAAAATTTTTAATCTTATTTCAATCTCAATAAACACTGATGCTTGTTGACAACTAATAACTAAATTAATTAGGGGCATTTGTTACAACATGGATAGGATAAAACTTATGTTTCCTTTTTAATATTAGAATATTTTCTTTGAAATCTAAATTTAAATTTTCTTGCCAGGGTTGCTTATTAAACACTACTTCTGCCTGAACTTGCCGCGAGTGAAATGGAGAAAATGAACATTAGCACATCAGCAGCTGCAAGGAGGCGTTGTGAGGCGTCACAAGCATGGTATTGGTTGTCATGAACTATGCCACATTACACAAGAAGAAACAATTGAATCTTGTCACAGCGCCCATTTGTCACTAATGAATCCCTACGTCAAGGAAATCGAGTCCAAATCATGACAAGTCAGAATATTTGAATTACTTTTTAGATTAGTTCATACGCTTTTAAAAATTTGTTTATGTTAAATTAAAATTTGTGTAATCACATTGAACCACACTCAATAAGAGAACAAGCTTCTCGCAGGAACAAGCAAAACTAAAATGGCAGAGCATTACATTTCTATGATGGAAATATTCTCATTATTTTAAACACAAAAAGAAAATGGGATTGTCTCAATGGACAGTGACTTTACTGAACTAATAAGACAAAAATACAAAACTCATTGCTTTCAACTTTTCATTAATCTATATATACAGCATCTATAGTGTCTGAAAGTTCTCAGAAGGTAACCTTACTAAAAAAATTAAATTCGTTTTTATTTTTAAAGGTAAATAAAGGTGTAGGATATACCATCATTAAATACAGAGCTTTTCTATCTAAAAATAACCTGCAAGTTCTGAAAGGGAACAAGCCCCAGGCAGGTATGAAAAAGTAACTAAGAAGTAACTCAAATGTAACATAACATTTCAATTTCCATAAAAAGTAACTATGTAACACAACTAGTTACTTTTTTGGAGTAACTCAATATTGTGATGCATTACTTTCAAAAGTAACTTTCCCCAATGCTAACAATAAAAAATAGTTGGTAAAAAATAGAATGGTTCACATCCAACTTTTAGCATTGACCCAGTGAAAAATAGATCATTTATCTCAAACAATCTTCATGAGAGCAATTTTTTATAGCCTGGTACAAAGCATATTTGTCTTGTTGAAGAAGGTCAATTAATTTAAATTCTCTTATTTTCTAAACAAGAAGATATAGATTCAATCACAACAAAAGTTCCCATAAAATGTTCATTTACCCAAATAAAAAAATAGGGTAAGGGTTTACATCTAAATTTGATCACTTGAGCCAATGAAAAATAAAAATTTGTTTAAAAAATGTTTAAAGCCCGTAAATGTAAAAGCATATTGATAATACGCATGCACTGACATGTGTGAGTAACCTTTAAATTTTACATTTGTCAAAACAAATATTTCTTAGTTTAGCTCATAATCAAAAACATTCGTATTTAACAATGTTTTAAACTTAAAATATATCACTTGAAAAATTAACCAAATAATAATAAACTGAAACGAAAGATACATTTTTAATTGGTAGTACTGCTTTAATTTTCTCACAAACCCAAAATTCAATGCTATTGAAAAGAAAAAAAGTGTAGTCTTACAGATGGTGTCCTGAATAGTGCTTTGTTTTACCATGAGTCAGTGTCAAAGTTATAGTTGCCAAGTCTACAGTGCAGTATCTATACAACTGACTGAGTAAAGATCCCACTGATATGACATGACAGCAAAAAGTCTAGATTTCTATGGCTGTGTTGGCATAAAATTGATTGATAGATATAAAATAGAGGAAGGAAGAGAACATACACAGCTAGAATGTCAAAATAGTCAAGAGTCAGTCAAAATCTCACGAGTACTGTGGTATAAATAAACAAGAGATGTCTCCATCTGAGGGGTTCTGGCTATAGGATACAGTATCTCATGAGGTATAGATGCTAGTAAGACATTGATCTGGGTGTATTGCTGAAAAATGTGCTGTTTTCGATGCAGGGAGTTTGGATCTAGGTCTGTTCCTGCATACTCATGCAGACCTCCCTCAACTTTCTGCATAAACAGACTGCAGATGGAAGCTTCTGTTTTTCTCTAAAAATCACCTCCACCTTCATCCTTTCAAGTGTTTGATCTGAGAAGGGATGAGAAAGCCTCTCTGAATGCTTAATTTCTTGAACAACTGCCATTACCTGCAACTATTTTTTCCCTTTCCTTTCCTTTCTTTTCCTTTCTTTTCCTCTCCTTTCATTTCTTTTACTTTCCTTTATTTTCCGTTCCTTTCATTTCCTTCTTAATTCTTAACTTTTTGTACACTACATTTTCCTTTTACATAATAATTCCCTCTTTTCCTTTACCTTCACCCCATTATTTCCATTTCTTTTGCTATTTCCGTTTACCCTTTCTTTACTCGTTTTTTTAGAATTAATTTCCTCCTTTTCTTTACTTTTCCTTTTCCAATTTCTCGTCCTTCCATTTCCACTGCTTCCTCCGACCATCCCTCCCTTCTTTATCTTTCTTTTCAATTTCTTCTTTTCATATCAAAATAATTTTGGGCTGATTACAGCTGCTTTTCTGTGACCGCATCCTCTCACTATTCTCTCTCCCTCCTCTACGGCTGCATAGTTTTCATCCCACTGCCCTCTTTACTATTCTCTTACACACACTCTTTCTTTTTCTAATCTCGTTTGAGTTTCTTGCTAATGCTATGCCCGTTGTTACAGATCATGTGAATGGACATTGCACTAGCCCCACCTCCCAGCCCTGTCCGTCTGGGAGGGCCAGAGTCCCGGGGGGCCCTGAAGGGCCACGCCTCGCCCGCAGAGGGCCCGGCCGACCGCCCTTCCGCAAGGCCCAGTCCGCCGCATGCATGGAGGTCTCTTTGCCTGTGTCCTCCCTCACCGAAGGTGTGTGCTTGTTCTCCAGCTCCTTTATCCCTTTAATCCATTTACCCTTTACTCCCATATTCCTTCACTGCCCCTTACCCATACTGCATGCTTAACACTCATCAAGGGATACAAGGAGAAGGGTATGGGGTTTTACTGCTGTGTTTTTTGACGCTCTGATTTCACTGCCTGGTTATAGTTTTTATTCCACTTTGTTGGAAAGACTGGTGATTATTAAAGGAAGCTTACCCCTTTTCCACTGAGCTGGTGCTCAACCAGATTTGCAAACCTCTCTTAGCAACATCCTAAGCCCTATCAAAGAGCTGCAAAATGCAAAAAAAAAAAATATTATTTACAAGTCTTAAAGAGAAATCAGAGTATCCTCAGGAATGCTACCCTTATCGCATGTTCAAAACCCATATGGGATTCTCCTGGGAAAATTTTTTGTACATATTATGCAAAATCATTGACTCTTTGTGCCCATTCACTCTCATTAGCCCCTTTCACACATACAGACCTTTCCGGAAAATTACCGGCAATTTTCCAGAAAGGGATCATGTGTGAACAGGCCATTTTTGAATTTACCGGTAAAGTCATTCCAGAAATTTTCCAGATATTTACCGGTATCACTGTGTAAAAGGGGTTATTGTTTTTTTCATATAATGTAAGTTAATGGTAATTTTACCTAACATGTCTTGTTATGTTTTAGGGAAAGGAGAAATTCAGAGAGGTTTGAAACGTCTATTTATTTGGAAAGCAGACCAGGTTGAGCTTGTTGGTGCAAAAGGGGTAATAAAGTATATTATGCTTCAGTTAAAATTCTGCACTTTTGCTGAAAATTTGATGAAATGTTTTTGTGATCTCATAATTGGTTTGTGCGGTGCATTTTAAATGTAAATCCCATTTATCCAGATTGAAATTGCTATTGAATGGGAATAGGATAAATGCTGATGAAATGGGCTTATTATTTTATTAACCAGCCTTTTAAAAGTCATTTAAAAAGTAAAACAAAAAGAATAAGAAGAAAAGAAAAGGCACAAACCTTTCAAAGTGTGACTCACAAAAATGACTCCGCTTTTTAAGCTTTGGGGATCCTCTGTCCCTTTTATGTTTGAGACCGTATTTGTGCTTCAAACATGGAGGCTGAGGCAGACACCGCTGTGAGCCTAATTATACTTTTTGTTTTTAATGCTTTTAATTACCACCTCTGCACACAGTCATTCGACAGGTGGGTTGGAGATGTGAATTAAAAAATTAATGTAGGCAGTCTCTGTGCAAGCTAGGGTTCGAGTTTACACAACGATCGTGGTTGTGGGTTTCTTTCTCTTCAGCCTTTTTTCTTAGTTTCAAAAAGAATGCTACAATTCAGCCAAATCTACTATGTTGCTACAAAACACATACATGGAGTTTTAATGCTTTGAACATACTACTATTATGGCTAAATAGGTGTGTGTGTGAAAGTGTGTGTTATAATAATATTCCCTGATTTATCATATCAAAACAAATAATCAGCACAAAAAGTTGAGGACATTGAATGACTAATTAAACACCCCTTAAAAGGGATAATTTACCAAAAAAAAAAAAAAAAATGAACGTTCAGTCAATCTTTTTGGGTGGACCCTCCTTTTAACTGGTAACATGAGCTTACACACAGACAAACCTTCATGTCATGTCAATTATTTGTCCTTGTCAGTCATATATGTCCCTATAGCAGATGTCTTGTCCATATTAGCTTGATCTGTACAGTGAAACGCTTCACTTAGATCATGTGCTTGCTAGGCACCAACTTCCTGTCAGTCACTAATCCAATCGCAGCGATAGGCAGAAACTCCTCCTGTGCCGTCATCTGTGTCCATAATCCTGTTTTTGTGAAGGTTGCCAACCAGGACGACCAGTCCAAGTTGAACAACAGCATATGAATAGTGTCACAAGGATCATGAGGTCATCTCAAGGACTGGATATTTCCCAGAATTGTGTGTTGTGCACTGAAATTGCATTTCTAACCTAACAGTCTGTATTTGATTACAGAAAAATTGTTCAAATTTAGTCAAAACGGTTCTCTACCTTGACATTCTGACAGTTTTGCAAGCTCTGAAACTTCCTAGATGCAGCTTGATGATTTTTTAACTGAATAATGTCATGATATTGAAATGTATTCATGCCATTGTAGACTCGTAACATTATTTTTCCTCTCCACTTGGAAAAGTGTTATTGTCCATTAGAGGACTGCCTAGCGCTTCTTTGGTCTCAATGCGTGGCGTGCGTCCCTATCAGTGCAGTAACAGGCATGCGGTGCCGCAGTGGGGTCGCTGGGATAATTAAAGGTCAATTAGCATCGAGGAGAGCCAGGCCGTCGCTAATGAGACATGCTACAGGAAGAGAGAGCTGCGGGAAGCTGGGATACGTAGTTTCATATAAACTGCCATTTAGGGTGGAAAGACACACACACTTGACGTAAACAAATTGCTGGAGAAGATGGAAAGTTGTAGAAATGTATCACAAGTCAGTGAATAAGTGGTAGCGGATGGGACTTTCAATGCACTGGGAGTGACTCCAGTGAGCCCTTGACAACCCATTATGCCATCGAAATTTATTGAGTCACTTCTCATTTACCAAAAAGATTCATGCGCTGATTCATTTTTAAGGGCTCTTTCTGTACAAAATCATAGAGGAAGTGCTGAGCGAATAAGAATCTTTTGGTGTAAATTTGGTCATTCAGCCCCACACTTGATTTGATTTGAAACAAGAATGATTAGTTCGCTCAAAAGATTTGTTAAAAACACTGATTCTTTTATGACTTGTACAATTTTTTGTTAATAAATAGAGGGATAGACTAGTCTTTACAAAGCAAGCATTTTTTTGTTTGTTTTTAAAAGATGTCTAATAGACAATTAAACGTAGACACCTTGGCTAAAACAAGGCTAAATTTAGGCTGTCAATGAAAATCTAATAGATGAAAAAAGAAGATAGAATAGGCCAGAACTAGATTAGTAGTCAAATAAACAAAAATGAGTGACTACACTTATAAAGTCTGTCTAATCTGTCTATTTGATGTCTATTTGATTTTCACTGACAGCCCAAGTTTAGCCTTGATTTAGCCAAGCTGTTTATGTTTAGATGTCTATTAGACTTCTATTAAACACAAAATTGTTTGCTGGGTGTAGTTGTACATGTTTGTGGTGTAACGGTACAAAAAATTAAGGTAAAGTGCAGTACATACCTTGATTCTGAAGTCAAGATTAGTGTGAAAACTAAATAGTATATATATTTTTCTCCCAAACTGGTTTACTTAAACCTACAGACAATAAAAAAAGAAGAAAAAATATATACATAGCTCAGCTAATGCTGTAAACCATACAAGAAAGTCTATAACTAACACATAATGTCATTGTTTGCAAGCCATTTCATTACTGTTTCCAAAAGTGTCCCAAAAACACTGACTAAGCACACACGATTTTACATGGTGTCACACCATGTTACTGTATTTTATATTTATGTAGGAGTTTTTGTCTACTGAAAGTTCATCAGCTAAAAATATGTATACATAAACAACAGTGTTTACTTTTTAGTTACTAATATGTACACTTACAATACCAATATGTACCTTAATAGTGCCAATATGGTCATTTTAGGTAACTTTTTAAAAAGGCATAACTTTGCAAAAAATGATTTTTTTTATGTTTTGTCATTTCTAATCCAAATATCTAAAAATGCTTATAAAGCAAGAAGAATTTTAGTCTAGTTTTAAGAAATTATATGCCAAAATTAAGTGAGATTTCCCTAAAAACAAGCTAAATATTCTGCCAATGGGGTAAGCAAATTAATTTTATGTCAAAAAACAAGATTATTTTGCATAATTGACAGATTATTTTGCTTGTTTTAAGGGAAAACTCACTTCATTTTGGCATTTTATTTCTGAAAACAAGACAATATGTTTTGCTTGCCTAGAAAATGCTTCTTGATATAAACTTTTTTTTTTTTAGATATTTGGACTTGAAACATGGCAAAAAATCTAAGTAAGAAAAGCATTTTTTGCAGTGTACCACAGTAACAGGCTTGGTATACCATTGAACACATGGCACTTCTGTCAGAAATTAAATATCCTGGCACTCTAACAAAGGTCTTTAGGGATATGTAGCATATACAGTTGAAGTCAGAATTATTATTATTATTATTTTTTCTTTTGGAGAGGACTTATTTGTTTTATTTCTGCTAGGATAAAAGCAGTTTACATTTTTTTAAACGCTATTTTAAGGTAAAAATTATTAGCCCCTTTAAGCTTAATTTTTTTTTCGATAGTCTACAGAACAAACTATCGTTATAAAATAACTTGCCTAATTACCCTAACCTGCCTTGTTAACCTACTGTAATAAACCTAGTTATCATTGTCTGTCATCGTGGCAAAGATAAAATAAATCATTTATTACAAATGAGTTATTAAAACTATCATGTTTAGAAATGTGTTGAAAAAATCTTCTCTCCGTTAAACAGAAATTAGGGAAAAAAGTAAACAGGGGGGCTAATAATTCAGAGGGGCTAAAAATTCTGACTTCAACTGGATATGTACATAAACAAAACCACAGAAGACAGAATAGACAATCACAGAGGAATCCGACAGACAGAATATACTAATTTCCACAGAAACGTTTGCCTGTTCCACAGAGAGAGGACGCTGGTGGTGTTTCTAATAACAGGTGTGTCATTCGGCTCTCCCGCGGTGATTGACAGTCAGTGACCTCAACCAAAGAGTCCCAGAGAGAGAGAACGAGCGAGCAGATCTGTTCTCTCACCCTTTTCTATCATGAAATATTCACACTAACAGGCTAACAGGATGGATACGACTAATTATGTTCACAGTCCCCGCAGATACAGGTGCCGTCAGTAGAAAAGGTCAATTCGTGTGTCTTCCCACAAACCGAGATGTGATATTGTGTGTAGCCATTCGCACTGTGTGAGATTGTGTGATTGGATGTGTGGCTTTGTGTTCAGTCTGCGTTGTGTTAGATTGTTTAGGTAATGAA